ATGGAAAATGTATGGCAAAAAAATCAGAAACAATTTTGGATGCCTTTTTCTATCCATTGTTTATTTATTTATTTATTTAATCTCTTGGCGGTGCGTGTAATATCTTCCTCTCATTTCATGCTTTACCTTCACCTTTCGTTCCATTCCAGATCAATCTCCAGCACAAGTCTCGCGTGAACTTCCCCGCCGTGACCGTGTGCAACCAGAACCGCATTAGTTGTTGGAAGCTTCAGGAACGGATGCTCAAGCAGCTGTCTGTCTCAGTCGAGGGCGAGGATAGCACGAGGCTCGTGGAACTGTACAACTTTACCCGCTGCGGCGTCGACGGCATCGGCTGTTCAAAAGTCCATGAAATTTATCACCGGTTCTTCAGTAGGGAAAAAGGGAGCATCCCCGAAAACCTTGCGAACAAGGACGTGTGCCTGCATTGCTCCACCATCCTTGCAGAATATATAAATATGTGTTACGTCGAAAATCTGCAAAAACCAACACAAGCCCTGACATATATCTGGCGGGAAAGGGATTGCTATAGTCAGATGAAGAACCAAAACTTGGAATTCGGGGACCAAATCATTCAAGAATCACTCGATAACTGCTTTGGTGTTCCCTTCAAGACCAACAACTCGGCCACTCCATCTACAGCAGAGACGAGCTCGAAGGTGGACCCGCTTGCAGTTGACTCCCAGACGTCGACTAACTTAGATGTACGTTTTTGTATTCATTTCGGTTCTGTGGATATTGATATTATTCTCTGGATAATAATAATGATGGTAATGATAATAATGATAATGATATTGATGAAAATGCTGATAATGATAATGGTAATGATGATAATAATAATAATAATGTTAATGATAATAGTAATAGTAATGAAAGTAATAATAACAATGGTAATGGTATTGATGACAATGGTAATAACAATAATGATAATGATATCAATGATAATAATGATAATGATGATGATAATTAGAATAACAATAATAATGAATACTGATAATGATAACAATGATAGACATAATGATTATGGTAATAATGATAATAATTATGAAAATTAATGAGAATATGATAATGATAATAATAATATTGACAATAATGATAATAATTATAAGAATTATAATGATGATAATGGTAATTATAATAATGATAGTGATGATGAAAATGAAAATGAAAATGATAATGGTAAGATGATAATTGTAATAAAATGAATACTGATAATACTAATAGGGATGATGGTAATTTTTATTGATAATGATGATAATGATAATAATGAATGTGATACTAATAATGATACTAATACTAATACGACTGTTTATTCTAGTACCAATGATGATGATAATAATTATGATAATAAAAAAATTGTGATTATAGTAATGATGATGATGATAGTAATAACCATGATAGCGATAATACTGCTAATGATGCTAATAATGATAGTAACAGTAATAATAAAAGTAATACTACCGCTACCAATAAAAATGATATCAATGATAATAATGGTGATAATAATACTGGCATTGACGATAATAATAATCGTAGTAGTTATAACGAGGAATAGCAATAATGATAATAGTAATGGTAATATCCTCAATCCCATTCGCATAAGACAACAACAGCTGCAGTAGTTGTCTTAAGAGTGGTAATGATACTTGCAATGGTAATAATAATGATACCAATGTTGCCAATAACTGACATTACAGATGCTATCATCGTTAACATAAGAAATATTAAGATTAATAAGAAATAATTAATAATTAATAAGAAATATTAACATAAGAAATATTAATATTAAGCTACAAATACTATCATCCTATCACTACAATCAAATCTACGTGAATATTGCACTTCATATTATCTTTCCTACTAAGGTTGATATCATCACTGCTATCGCCGTAATTATATCTTTAGTGTCTATGTTTAAATCAGAATTAATACATTCTGTAACATCAACAATACCCTATCAATATTGCCATCAATATCGTAGCTAAAGTCAACATTATCATTGATACCGCAATTAATGTCAAAATTGATATATTTAATATCTCATTACTATCTCCATTCGACAACGCCCCTATTCACATGCCAGTAAAGTCTTCATTACTATTACATTACTATTACATTAATAATACCCCTATCAACATCGTATTTAATATTTCCATTACCGTCATAAGTTAATATAATGGTCAGAAGCTAAACAAATGTGCCAGATATGGAAGATCATGTAGTACTATCACTACCAGAACCTTAACGTCAAAATTACTATAGGCTCATTACTCTCATGAACAGCCCCATTAGCAATTTAATATCCCTATTACCGTCCCCGCTGAACTCGCCCTCTTCTCCCACAGGCGCCAGGACTCCGAGTCAAGCGACAGAATAGCCGGATCGCAACGAAATTGATAAAGACGATCAGTCGCGACGAGATGAGTCCCTCGGAGGACCACGATCTGAAGATGAACTTTCTCGTCGAGTACATGGACCTGAACCATCAACTGAAGAAGGA